AATGGTCTACCTGAGTACCTTGCTAATCAACTCCAGTTTAGGCCTCTTGGAGATGGTGGCTCCCTTCGTCGCTCCCAATTTGATTTGGTGATCCCATATGCTAGCACCTCTTACGTAGCTGGTCCGCGACTATGGAATACTCTTCCGCATGATCTACGCCGATGCTATGATCGGCCCTGTTTCAGGGTGCTCTTTTACAGTTATTTTATTAAGAAGACGTTTGGTCGCCTATAGTTTGCAAGTGTTCTGCTCATAAAGCGTTACTATTTACTAAATTGTTATGTTTTTATATTTGATTTTTTTTGTTTCCTTTTCTTATATATATATATACATGTATATGTTTTCTTTTTGGATATATATATGTGTGTGTATGCATATGTATGTATGTGCGTATGTATGTATATATATATGTATATTTTCTTCCTTTTAAGTTTGTTTCTTTATTTTTGTTATACCTTTTTTTTATGATTTATTAATGCGAATTTTGTTAGGCTGATGCCATTGTATTAGCTCAGTCATTTTGTTCTTTTTTATAATATATACACTATGCCTCGACGTTGTAGGACCTTGAGTCCATTGTCGACTAAATAAATTCAACTCAACTCAACTCTCTTACGAAAGCAGAGCAGAGGGGACAGAAAGAGAACGATCCGTCGACGCTGTGTGCCGGATCGCTGTTGATTTTGCTGCAGCAATGTAAATATAAGCGGGCGATGATGCACATAATATATACATGTGCAGAGGGAATTTTAAGATAATTTCTCACGAACCCAACTTGAGTACTGTTTGGAAGAGTCGCGGATGCGCCATCACGAGACCGTGGATCTTTTATTGCTTTTTTTTTTTTTCTTGTTTTTTCGTCTTGTGTGTGTGTGTTTTTTAGGTGACGCAACTTGATTGTCTTCAATGACAAATGCATTGATCATACGAGGATAATGTGTGGTGACTTTTTTGTTTTCGTTTTTTTTTTCTCTGCGCGTGAAGGTTGTTTTTAACGAGTTTCGTCAGGACAATAATCATCGAGCCACTAAAAAGAATAAAAATAGTAAAGATGAAACGTTTGCAGTTTATTTTTTGTTTGGGAGTATCGAAAAAAAATTATTTGCATAACAAAGCCTGACTGTTTTTTTTAATGGACATATAGGAGGTGTATCATGGTACATGCTGTGACTCAAACTTTCAAGAATAATTATTACGCTCCTTTTTTTATTTTTTATTTTTTTTTTGGCGAAGAGAGATGAGCTTAAAAAGTAGGACGGTACTAAAAATAATTTATAGCTTGGAATAAAAATTTTTGGTTTGTGCTTGTACGACAACAGGCCAATGTTTGTGTATTATTTATAGGGTAAATTTTTTTATTTATTATATCCATTACATTATTGAAAAAAAAAAAAAGAAATTTTTTACTGGTGGATGTATGTACACGTTTATTTTTGTTACATTACATTACACGCAGAATTTATTACTGTCTTTTGTTCCACTCGACTAAACTTTATTAGAGTGAAATGGGTATTACCTGTGAGTTGACTAATGGAGCCTTTATATCTTATTATCGTTAAAATTAATAAATATGGTTATAAAATAAATACATTATCATGAAATTTTTTAACCCTAACACAATGATTAATAATCAACTAAAGCCCATGACCTTGATGTGAAATTTTATTAATTATTCATGAATTTCTTTCTAATTCGTTATTTTAAACGAATTATTATTTTTGTTTCTATCGCTGCATTCGCAAAGATGCAAACAAAAAATAACTGATAACAGATCACATTAAAAAAAAATTACAAGTTTTCATCGCTCTTCGATCAAAACCAACGCAACGATGATAACTACCCACCTAAGGCACCTCGAGCACGGAGCGCCTGTATCAACGGCAACCAACCACACGCGCGTAGCCGGTGTTGCCGGTGGCCGGGCTCCGTCGGGCGAAAGTAAATACATTCAAGCTGCTGAATTCCGGGGGGGATGTGAGGCTAATGCACTTGCGGTTATCTTGCCAGCAATGCATTTTTCTACTAGCTCGGCTGTACGTAACTTACTCACGTATTCCCTCTCGCGGTAGGTTTGCGTACGAAAAACGCGAGGCAAGTCATTGTTCATTTTTGATTTTACATGATATTGGTTACTTGTCGAGAATCAATACACCCAATATCAAAATGCGGGATCAATTAACATCGAGAAAATAAAGAATTGGCGTGTAGGCGCGCTGCAAAGCGAGGAAATTACAATTTATGCATCCTCCTTCGTTTATCCCCCCAGAGGCCTACTTGATGTAGGTACCTACACCTATAGGGCACTTGGCATGCTAATTATGGTGAGAGGCGCGTCAAATTAAAAGTTTCACGCTACACTTATGCATCACCGATACGAATATGAAGGTGTTGCTCGATTTGCTCGATGTATCCTCGAGCGGATACCTCCCTTTTTTTTTTTTCATATACACAGGCATGATTCAACTCGATGATTTTGAAAGGTTTTCCACGAGTGCTGGATTTAATTTACGCACAACTACCACGCGTTCGTATGATTATGTGTACGGAAAAATCAAGGCTAGGGGAGGGGGATGAAACAAACGAAAGATTAATCGAGTTTTACCTGTGGTCCGCTGGCCGTTCCTTATGTGAATGACGCTCTCGTTGTCGGAGTCGGAGCCGAGCCAGTAGGTGGTGCTGCTACGGTCCGAGTCGCTCTGCAGATCGTCCGACGTTTCCTCGAGAATCGTCTCCAGGTTAAAGTAATCCTGCACCCACATCCTGTCTGTAACAACCGATGGAACAATCAAATTCAGCGTCTTTCGACCATTTCATCGCGCGTTTTATTTACCACCCCAAACTTTAATTGGGTTGGTAAGCAAATAAAGAAAAAAGAAAAATGTTTTCCCAAATAAGTATATCTAAATACGCTGTTGGGCTAAGGAGGGCAATTGTCGAGGGGCCAGAGAGCGCGCAGTTATAGCAAAGTAGGTCGCTCTAAACCAGCTGTACGTAATTGCCATAGCTCGATTTCTCGGTGGCTTTTCAAAAATTTTCTCGGCTCGCGCATTAAATATACAGAGCGCAAAATGAACTCGTGTGTATAAATACTTGTACTCGTGCGAGCAATGGATTCCCGCGGGATTACGGAGGTTCGATGATTTTCTCCAAGTGCAAAGACAGCAGTGACACTTATGCAACAATAACCATTCGGAGTGCCAGTATGTCTATTGTTTTCAATGTTTTTAACTGGAAATTTTTTTTATTCGATGTGATTTCAACTTTTAATATAAGCTCTTGGGGCCGGCAATGGATTTAGGACCATTTTTCATTAAAGAAATAATGGACACGGTTTCCTGACACTTTGATTAGTTCAACTGCTTTTTCTGCATTTTGAGGAAATAATTGAGCCTCCATAACAATTTGTTGTATCGACCCGCACCATCGCCGCAACCGATGAATAGAGACTCGATTATTGGAGCATCCAATTGATCGTAACGTGGAAGAGCAAACGGAAAAGAAAAAAATTGTAAGTGAGCGATAAGTAGCATTGGTGGTACAAGTATAACGATGCTAACGAAAAGTAATTAACGCGAGCTCTCTGGTGCAAGTTATTTGCGCCCGATGAGGTAACTTTAGGCGTCTGTTGGCATTGGCCAAACACGTGTTTCATAAAAAAGGTAAATTGTACTTAATTCACCCTCGTTTGAATGAAAAAGCCGCGACAATTCGATAATTTATCACTTGCGCGTGTGCAGACACATTTCACGGGCAGGGACTTTCGTTGGACTTCAAAGCGAGCCGTCAAACGTGGCTCTTGGCTCTCGCGGAAAAAAAAGAGACTTTACTCCCGTGAATTGCGGGCAGAGATCCTTGGCTCGCAGCCGCGTGAGATAATCCGGTGGCGCCACGTCGGAAACCCGCTCTCTTTTATTTCCATCCCTTCTTTTCTTTACAGATCATTGCCACCCTTTCATTCAACTCAACAGCGCACGTAGAGAAACCTAACTACCTTTTTTTGAAAAATAGTTTCTCTTAGTGGCTCTTTCCCCCCCAAAGGTTGAGTGCCTCGATGGTCGAATCGATCCTTGTTCATCAGTAATGTATACAGATTTGCGGACAAAAAGAGCAAAATTTCACAAGCCAGCCTCACCCAGTCGCTTGCGGTACAGCCAACAGCGATTATGGCAACACGCGGGAGTCATCGCCGTGTACAAAAGCGATTAATCTCGGAGAATCCCACGCGCGATATTTTACAAACGACGCGCTCGTACTCTGGGTATATAACATAAATATACGTATACTGTTCAATCCGAGGCTTGCGTCATCATCATGCCCATATGTACATCCTCCATGCATATACATATACATATTACACGAGCGAGTGTATTATAGGAGCAAAGAGAGAGACTCGCTGCTCGAGCGATTATGATTAATAGCGCCGTTTCCGTGCAACTCGCGTGTATTCTTCTCCTCTGATCCACGAATTCATCCGCTACTTGGGTCATTCACACACATAGACGCGGGTGGCAACTATATGCGTGCAATCGCAAGGAGTTCATCAACCCGTGGAAGTTTCCTTTTTGTTATGCGTATAGAGAGTCTCGCAAGAGAAGGGCGTCCTTTATCGGTTTGCATGAGCTATGCGCTCCTACAAGACGTACACGTATAGGGAGAGTTGACGGGAACAATGACGACGAGAGGTGTGGCTCTTTCTTCCACCCTTCGAAGGATAATATTGGAACGTGCGAGGAGTGTTTGAGCGTATATTACGTGTTATTTGCGAGGGAGACCGCTCCGGCGTCTGTGTGTGTGCGTGTGTATATTTGCACGGGATGTACACAAGAGAGGTTGGCTATTAGCGATGGGTAATGACTATATTGTTGAATTTGGTGATTATATTCGTTGTTAACGGTATTAGCGGTGATAACGACGACGAATGGTGAGTATACATCATCATTTCTACGAGTAACGCCTATATAGTTACTTATTTAATTCATTTGATAAACTAAGTGAATGGGGACTAAAAATGCACGACTAATCTTCGTTTTTAAGTAAAACAGATCGATTAAAAGAATTTTTCGTCATTCATCAGAGATATTCATTAAAAATTAATCGAAATGAGATAGACACGAGAAACAAAGATATATACTTATATTTGTTATCAAATCGAGCGCGTAATCGGGTGGTAATGAGTGTAGATATAACAATATTGTCGCTACATCTTTTTACATAATCCCCTATCTCCGATACTCAATTGTAAACAAAAACTTGATTCATTAACTTATACTGTCAATGACGACGAACTCGATGATAAAATAATAGATTTTCCAAATTTATATTTCCCCGGATTTGTCACAAACAAACGGCGTTGCGGTCGAGTGAGCGATAAAATTTTTTTCAACTATACGAACCAACGCTGCTCACTGTTGGTACGTATGTTTATATATGAATTCACGATTAAAGATCTCGCGTGCATACCAACATGAGAAACACGCGAGTTGTGCGCGAGCGAATCAAGAGGGGGTAAAAAAAACGGGGCGGTCGCGTATAATAATCAGGCGAACGGTGCAACAGGTGGTTCCCCGTTCACCGGCTATATAACGCGTGTGTATGCGTTCACGTGCGAAACGGACTTTTTTTTTTTTTTGTTTTTTTTTGTTGTTTTTTTTACGACGCAGGGGGCTCTCGTGCATATCGATACAGCAGCGTAATGATATTAGGTACGAGCGAGAGAAATGGTATTTTTTACGAAGGGAGGAAAAACAGATGTCGGTCGCTAGGACAGCCAATCGCGTGCCAGAAAATTAGCCCCTTCTGTCCTTTCCTTCCTTCGTCTCTCACTTGAATTAGAGTTGCGTATGTATTTATAGCCATTAGTACTGCGATGATAGCTTCGTATGAAAAGATTAGAAGAAGAAATTAGTTGTTACGAAGATAGGTTGCTTGGATTTATGTATCGTGGAGCTTTTATTTATTTAAGTAATGTGTGGTATTATATAAGCAACACTTGTTCACCCGGTATACCGGAAAGGGAGGATAATTAATAGTACTTATTGTTTCTGTTTTATTTCGTTCTTAAAAACTGCTAAAAAAAGAAGGAAAGAACGATTAAGTCATTTTTACCGTAAAACTACGGGGACATTGGAATTTTCATAGTAAAAATACTGAAAAAATTACTGTAGTTTTTTCCTTTGTGTATATATACCTACGTGGACACATAAGATAACTTCAATGATCCGCAGTAGGTATCCACCAATATTTTATCGAATGGCAAAAATCTTTTCTCTACATGCATTAAGAAATATATTTTTATTGAAGAAAATTTACGTTTATTTAACGCATAGACAAAAAGAGATAGTGTCACGCAAGGAGATTGCTATATAGAATGTTTGTGTGTTTTTCGCTTCATGAACTATATAAAGAGATTATTCTAAAGATCCGACGAAGATAAGCAAAAAGTACAAATCGATCGAGTAGCGGGAATAACAAACCCACATGCGCGCGCGCACCAGATTGTGACATCACATTTAAATTTAGATCGCGCGTGCAAAGTAATAGATGTACATATACATATGTGTGATTTTCGCTTTAATATTCGCTCATCGAGTACTTATATAAGTATACATATCTTAACAACCCACGCGCACTTCTTTCCCTATACACATCGAGAATCTTCACGAGTATCCGCGATCGAGCACACAATAGCCTCTGTTACCATGCCGTCGAACATTTTCCACAGCACCCATACATACATGTAATACATCAGATGATTTTGGTAATTTGATTCCAGCTGGATTATCACTGTATCTTTTATCAAATTCCTTAACAAATGCCTTTAAGTAACGTCATAAATTCTACTCGAATGATTGCTCATTCAATCGATAATCAATCACGCCCATACAGACACAAAGGTTTTTATAGAGTCGAAAACATGATGCCGATTTCATAAAAGACAAAATATTTAAAAAAAAAATTAAATTGCGCTGTCTCACGTAATTATTGAATACAGCTAAAATTCGATCGACGAGCATATTTATACATACGTGCACAGAGCCGCAGCTTCTCTCTCGAGATCGACCCTGAAATTTCTGGCATGCGCGTTACGCATACGCAACGCGAAACGAATCTCCCGCTCGCGTGAACACCTATATATGTATATATATATATGTGTGTGTGTGTGTGTGTGTGCACGTGCACCGTCCAATCATCATCCGCAGCAGCGGCGGAAGGGAAAAACTCCGCGAGCACGATAATGGCTTTTTTACGCGCGACAACGGCATCCGATCGGGAAAATCGTAAAGATCGTTTCTCGGTTCCAAGTCCAGTCTGCAGTACATAGGCACGCCACGCCTGGTACTTATATATATATATATATATATACATATATACGTGACGTCACCTTTGTGATTTTCCACGGTATGCACCGGCATGCATAAATATAGTGTCTCTCGTATATAGTTTCGATTTGAAAGTCAATTTGCCGCCAGTTTCACGTAATGTATGTATGTACATATACGCGCATAGCGGGGTACACGTACTTATTATAATTCGTTTTCTACGGCAACGGGTTCTCTCTCACTCAAGAGAGAGAGAGTGTCGTGTTGCACACACGCGTGTATGCGTGTATATATTAAGTACAAAGTGAAAAAAGGAATTTAGAAAATTAAGGACACGTGGAGTGTCTTTTTTATTATCATATCCATATACCTACGTGTACAACATGACATGTGTACCTAATGGTTTGGCGAAAAGAATTTCCGGGTGAATAAAAAAAAAAGAAAGATCATTGTACCGTTGAGCGATGCTGCGTTGTATACGGGGGGGGGGGGGGTATAAAAATGACGAGGCGGATGGTGCACGCGCGACGTTATTTGACGCTAATTGGCGGCTTCGGGATGAATTTCGCCGTAAAGCGCGTTCCCGCAGCCGACGGTGCATTGCATATATACCTTTATGTAGCCGGGGGTTTTATCTCTTCGGCTTTTGTTCTCTCTTGGAAGAAGAGGAGGGAGACGAATAAGTACAATGGGTTCGCGAGAGATGTACGCGCACGAATGATTCCACAAAAAAGTCGAGTTTAGTTTTGGCAGTGATGTCCATTTGTGACTTTTCTTTTGGTTCATATTTTTTGTTGTTTTGACAATTCACAGCCCTGCAAACTCCCTCTGTTACGATTCAATGTAAATTTTGTTTTTTTTATATCATTTTACGACAAACAAACATTTTGTTCGGTAGCACATTTGATGTTGTGCACAATATAACACATGTGATTTTTATTTTTTTTTTTCAACTTTAGGAAAACGTCAACTTTTGTCAAACACACCTTCATTAGTACACACTCGTAGTGCGAACAAGTCGTATGAAAAACTTTGTTTCCACTCATAAGTAAGTACGCGTCACGTTGACGTCCTCCGTTTTCGAGCCAAAGGTGCAGCAGAGATTAATCAACCGGCATATACATAAACATTGCTTTTTTCCAGAGCACATCATTAAAAACTCGCATTACCCATCCTCTTCCACAATAAACGCGTATACGCTTCCTTCGAAGGCCACAACTCGCGTACGATAATTACACGCGCGCGCGGTATAAACAATATATATACCCAAGACGCGCTATTATACCGAGTATACTTGTAAATTTTGATTTCCCATCGTACCGAATCCAAAAATAAGACGCGGCATCTCCCCTTCGTTAATTAACGAACCGAGCCACGGATGGAAAGCCGTGGGGGGGGGGGGCAGACACCGCGTGCAGCCTAGATACCCATAAACACTTGCAGATACAAACTGCGCTCTCTATAGGTAAAATCGGAACTCGTGCCGAACCTCGTAATTATATATACACGCACACACCCGTGGTCATTAACATAATACACGATTTCACGGGGACGCCCAGACGCGGATGGACCGAGGTGCTTGTACATTATACGTATAAGATCTGGAGCGCACGTGTCTCGCGTGCAGCTCGCGGGTTTTCTCCCAGACGTGCAGTTATATAGTGGCGACGACCCACAGCACAGCGGGTCTATTGTTCGCACTTGGGTAAACTATGTCCGCGGACGCGAAAGTGCGAGAACTCTGGACTTATCGAGATCGCGTCGAGCGAGTGTAATACGTGGATATCAATGCGTGGAGGATCGGAGATGGAGAAGAAGGGAGTGTGTTGTTGTGCGTTGTTGCGTGGTCTCGTTGAGCTGCGGGCCATATGGAGGTAATGCAAAGGTGTATACTGCATGCAAATGTTTTGCGGGATATATGATAAAAAGAGAAACCGATCGCTCGTTTGAGAGAGGAATAATAGTTGCTGAGATGAAGTTTTGATGAAAGTCGGGTATTGGGTATATACTACTCCGCGGGGCATGGGGTTTCGACTTGATTGAAAGTTCCACGGGGTCTATACGTGGGATTTTTTTTTTTGTACTTTCCTTTGTTTGCCAGTTTTTTGCACCAACGATTGGAATATCAATAACGTAAAAGCATAACCACAGGTGTAGCCCATAGCTTTACGATTAAAATCAATTTTTATACTTGTTTGTGTATAAAATTCAAGAATAAAAAAGAAAAATCCAGTCTTTTCATTTTTAATCATCTCAAATAGAATCAATTAATAAATATCGATTAATATGCAAACAGCGAGTCAAATGCTTTACCATAAAGATAAAACAGTTTTATGTAAAATGTACAAATAAAACTCACGCATACATATGTTCGAGAGTACGTCCATATATATACACGTCCATTGACACACTTTAAGAAATCGAGATCGATCGATCGGTGCCATCGGTTATTTTATAGATTAATATTCAGCCGACAAACCCAAACGACCTTTCGCATTCTTATTTATTTGCGTAGACGACCGCTGCTGTTTCGTTATCCAATGAAATTATATTAAATAATAATACTAAACAACAACAATCGTAACAACAGCCACGATTGCACAACCGATCGCCGAGGTGGAGAAAAAAAAAAAAAAGAAGCTCTGTATAGATCGCGAGAAAGTTGCGCGCCATAATATTTATGTACACGTACACAAAACACAAGGCAATGCATCAACAAAAATGTTACGAAGGAGTCTTGAGAGGCAAAAAAAGACGCACTACTGTACGTATACATATGCATACAGCTGTAGTTTACATTGTACTAGACGGTATTGTGTAGATCATTCGAGATTTAAGGGCAGCATCCGGTCTTTTTTAAGTAATGAGAGCCAGGAGGAGGAGGAGGAGGCGGCACTCGTGGTTATCGCGCTTTCGCATCGTATACACGCCGGCTTACTTATACCGGTAATGCAACAGACGAGAGACGGGAGCATCGCGAAAGTCATTAGAAAGTTTGCAAATTAAGTTAATGTGTATTATAAAAGATTGTAGCTTTTTTCTTTTTTTTCCTTCTTCAAAACATAGAATTTCATCAGAAAAAAAAAATAAATAAATAGTATTCACTACATGTCCCGTTTGAAGTATAAGGAATAAATAGTTTTCCAGTAAAGGTGCATGTAGCCTCTGTTTGAGCGGCGCGCGTGAATCACTTCAAGTTGCCCGACCGGAATATGAGTACACACACATACACGTACAGTACAAAATAAAACATATAGAGGGGAAAAAAAAAGAAAGAATTTAGTCCTACTTCTTTGAATAAACATCGAGAGTCTGAGCTGGAATGCCTTTCAGACCTTCACGTATACACCATGGTATACCGGAAAGAGCTCGATGCACGTAAGTTTGGGTACCTAAATCCGTCCGGTCCGGAAGTGGCTGTATTTTTGTTTTGTTTTTATTTTTAATAATGTATACCCGCTTTACATGCGTTTCATTTAAATCTCAGTCTGCTAATGTATAATATTACACACTGGCCTGTGTACAAGACCATGCATATATACAGCGATGCAGTTACTGCTTTGCGGATAACAATAATGATTCCAATAGTCGGAGCATCTGTCAACAAATCACAACCGACACGGGAAATGTGCAACGATGACAGCATTTTGAAATAGAGTGTAGACGTAAAATTAAACGTAAAAAAGATGGATCGAAAAATCAATCAAGTAATAACTCCCCAGTGGCAAACGAATGTACATTGTACTTTCACCTTATTGTATACACACACACACACATATATATATATATATATATATAAGCGTGAGCGCGCGTTCGTAATGTTATTGTATTATGCGGCTCGTCGCGGTGTCGCGCGCTCGAACAAAACGTATACACCGTACCTATACGAGTTGGGAATTAAAATTAGCTGCGATAGGAGGGGGAGTGCGGCTGTATAATCCGAGAGAGGGTACGTGAAAAAAAAAAAAAAAAAAAAAAAGGAGGAAAAACCGGTATTAGGAGGTAGAGTCAACGAACCGTTAGCGCGTAGATCCTCGTGCGTGGGTTGAAAGTTGTGATGCTGGATCTGGAAGCCGTAGGCCGGAAGCCAGGGGTTAGGTCGGTTCGCCAGGTCCATCTCCGGTCCCATGTCGCTGTTGGTTTCGCTGGTGCCGCAGTAGCTACCGAAACTCGTTGACGCTTCCTCCTCCTCGGCTCCTGCTGCCTCGCTCATCTCCTCCCACCCCCGCACTACTCATGCGTTATGTTTTTTTTTTTTTCCCCCTTTTTTCCTTTTTCGTGGTGATCAGCGTTGGGCCCAAGGAGGGTGGAAAGGTCTCTCTTATTTTATTTCCGTCATTCCTCTTCTTTCCTGCGCAATGGAAATCAAAAGATGATGGTTAATGGATTCGGCGTCGTGTAAGAATATACATTTTGCAGATGTGTTTTTTTTTTTTTTTTTTTTTTTTTTGCTAATGATGGATATATATTTTTTTTTTTTTTTTTTATATTATAGTGCTCTACGTCCGGCTCCTTTAATAAGGGCACTACTATGGGCACTTAGCACTTGGGAGAAGGACAAGGAAAGGGATGGGAGGCTTCCCATTACTGGGAGGGGGGTAGGGGGAAATTAGGCCATTTTTGCTGCGAGAAGGTCGCCTAAACCCTCCTCGAGGAGCATTGCGTGGTGAAAAAGCACATGTGAAAAATCACAGAGATACTTGCCCGTAAAGTCGCACTGGCCGGGAATTGAACCACAGTCTCCCGCGTGCCAATCCACGACCAAGCCGACCGAGCCACCGCGCGCTCTAGATGGATATATATAAAGAGGCAGAGGTGTGCTTTTTTACTTGGACAGGTTATTTTAATTTACGTACATATACATGGAGTGTATCACCAGCACATAGGAGTGATGTTGGCCGAGACGGCGAAGCAAAAACTTATGACTAAATACTTAATACGACTGGAAATCTTACGAATAAAAAAAAAATTGGTGAAAACTTGCGATTAAACTTACGACTTGAAATCTTTTGATATATCGATCGAAATTTACATTAGTGATAACAATAATACAATACAAGCAAGTTTACGTTTGCATTATATACGAATGGAACCACGTTTTTTTTTTCCTGAAACGTCAATATTCGTTGGCACAACAGAAGTAACATATACCTCGCGGGAAGTAAACAACAACAACAACAACAACAACAAAAAAGTGGAGAAAAGAGCTTTTTTTTGTATTATTACGAGCCACGCACGTATACGCGATTATAATCCATTAAACGACGCCTACGCGATTTCTTATGGCTTTTCGTTCCGTGTGGAATTCGTTTCGTCAGTTTTTAGCCGCGCGCATCGGGACAGTAATAACATAAGCGGGGCTGCACTCGTTAGCGGCTCCGGCCGAGTGTGAATCCCCCTTTTCCTGCTTATACCGCGACGGAGCAGCGCATCCCGAGGGGGCCTTCTTTTTTTTCTTCCTTCCTCTTCGCTATAGCGACTAAATGTTGTAGTCTTGTGTGCAAGTATATGTATACATTTTTATTTTGTGTTTCTCTCTCTCTATTTCTTGCTCACTTTCTTTGTAGGTACGCTTGCTTCTGGATGTACTTTACTGTACACGATCGTGGGGGAAATCACTAACAACAAGCAGCAGCGATCGACTCGCCGTTGAAAATTTAATTTTAAAATGCTCACGTGATTGTGATTGTTGTACAAATATTGTATAGTTATGCGGGGGAGAACGAAGGATTCCTTTTTTTTTCTCTATTTAGTTTTAGCATTTTTGCTTCGTATCTGTCGCTGTTCGCAACACAGCCGGTAAAATCCATCTATAATCACGAGAAAAAACAACAACACTGCAAGTTTTCCCATCTTACTCCGATGTAAGTATTTATCGGCTTATTGTCCCACTTGATTCGCCGAACGGACAATTAACGAGAACAACAAAAGCAGAGGGAGAAAAGAGGGGGCGTACAGGATTAATAATTCCAAACGGAAGTCCGAGAGCTCCGCTGCTCTTTTTTTTTTTTCCTCCTCCTCCTCGGTTCTCTTTGTAACCATATAATATACGAACGCTGCAACGCTCGCTCGACTATTTTAATTTTTTTTTTTTTTTTCTGTTATCGCTACAGCATCGCGAAAGGGGAGTCGCGATGGTTAATTACCTTCCTGCAAACGCATACCGGGACATTGAACGATTAATACAGCCCCACGTACCCGTGGCTTCATGTTTTAAAGGCCATAGTTTTATGGACATTGAGCTTTGGATAATTTATTTAATTCAAATTACACCTTGTATGTATACGCGCCGATGGAAAGCGGTTTCACCACCGAGTTCACGAACCCCAGGGTTTTATACACGTGTACTCACAGGCAAATAACATTAATTTCCGTGGGACCCCCGAGTACAGTACTCATTGTATTTGTATCTACGTGTACATAAGTATATAATTGTATAGGCACACAGAATTAACGCAGCGGAGAAAAAAAATAATCCACGCACCTGATGGCTCTGCTACAATTGCTAGTATGGGAATAAGAGAAGAGAGTCACAAGAGCGCGCGGGGGAAGGTCTTCGCACGATTTGGCACTGGTATTGTTCGGGCTTTGCAAATATTTACCAACTAGATTGAAATATACGAAAAGGAAGAGAGTTTGTATATTATAACGTTCACGAGAAATTCACGACTGCGTTACATGCGTGACGTATGGTATTTCCCTCTCTAAATTTGAGACGACTTTTTTGTTCAGTGCGCCCTTTTTTCCTATAGGTGTATCTCGTGTTATTGCTGTTGTACTCGTATAGGTACAACAACTCTGTATACGTGTGGGGAAGCCTTTTTTTTCGCAATCTCTTGCTTTCTTCCCCTCGCGCGAGACTCTTTGGGTATGACGAGTATTTTTCGTTTTTCTTGTCCTTCCTCGCGTGTGGGGAACCTGGCTATAATTAGCGCGCGCCTTCTTCGAGACACTTTTTGAGTGGATTTTGCGCGAGAGCAATCTAACTGTATACGTATACATAAACAATAATACAACTTATTGCCCCTATTTGTTATAAGACAAGGAATAAGATCTTATTCCTTATCTTATATATGTATGCATGCTCGAGCTTTTGTTCATACAACATTGTGCATATCATATACATATACCACGTGAATGTTGAGCGTGTACAGTAGCATCAGCAATACACGACACGTGCATCGGCGCACACCTCGACGGTGACAAATATATTTGCATTGGGTTTCGTTATTTGAGGAAAAAGTTTTGCGCGCACAAGGTATAACTGAATATATCCGAGTTTTTGTTTTTCAATGCATGTTTTTGTTTTTTTCAAATATATATTGCTTTGGAAATGAGAATAGCAATATTCAATCATATACAATCACGTCACTCGGATTATAACTATGTTACATTAATTTATTATTGTCGAGAAAATTTTGAATCAAACTTTCAGCAGCTCGCCTAGAAGGAAATACGTATACGAGCAAGAGCTCCTTTTTCCGTCATTCAAAATAACAATCGAGAAAAAAAAAGAGAACAGCTTCCGTACATCCAAGAGAGATCGAGAGCTAAACTATAGGCTAAACGCTCCCTCGGGGACATCAACAAAATAGCCATTGCGCAACGCGTTTCCATTCGATCCGCTCTGTGACAATGAGTTTCGACGCTACCCCGCTAATTGTATAAAATATACGTGTACGCATAGTATATTTACATGCTGGGGATAGAAGAAGACGAGCATCTAATTAACATTTTGTTGTTTACACGCGAGATTAATTCCTGGCGCACATACCGTTCGAGCTCCACTTAATCGTTTGTGATGTACCCAAATGCGCTCTTAACGAGAGCGAAACTAATGGAGATTTTCTTGTCATCCCGTACCGAGTGGTAATAAATATACATATACCTGGGATATTGATTAATTTAATCTATAACTTTATAAATGCAAGTGCGACGAGTTAATAAAAAAAAACAAAAAAAAAAACAAAGGTATGCGTTGTCGGTATTAAAATTTCATCAACAAAAGGAGCTCTTCCCCTTCCCTGCCTCGCTGTGTAGTATCAGCAATTTGCCACCTGACGCCAGTCTAAACAACAAGGCGCGGAACGATTATTTGCATTTTCACTTAAGTGATGAGTAATGCATATGTACGCGTGCACTCGTAGAGGAGTCGTCGCAAACGCGCGTATGTATACGTAGCCGTGTGTGTACAATGCTTTAAAACGAGCCGATCGCAATTGACTATTGTATCTACTACCCCCTTCCCCTCCGGCCACCCAACTCTTTTATTACGCAACTCTCTCTCTCTCTCTCTCTCTCTGCAAATATACAGGTTCGCTGTTTTTTTTCTCTCTTTCTTTCGGTCTTGTCTAATACACTTAGTCTGTTTTTTTTTTTTTTCTTTTTCAGTACCTATACATCCAAACGCATACATACCAGTCGCGGAATTCGCCCCGTCTACGATGGCGATTGATATTTTTTTTTTTTTTTTTTTTTTCGTTCTTCTCTTCAAGGCCTACATACATAAATATACGAGTTGTCGTGATAACGAATGTACGTATTTTCTCGAGTGTAATAGTATACGAAAGATTGATCGCGGGGTGATATAATAATAATAATAATGTGTGTATACATTATAATGAACCTGTTGTGGAACGCGCGTTGCTTTTCTACGTCCAACGAGGTAAGTATTTATGGGTATGTGTATTAACGCGAGTATCGTAGGATAATTTTTTGGAGTCAAATTTATTGACCGCGCATTTTAGAACTCTTTGGCCGTTGAGTTGTAATTCGAAAGTAACGCCTCGGATGTACGGCGCTAATTGAGTTAAGTATGTATACCCTATACTCCGATATCACAATGTAAATGATAATAGAGTATAGGTGTAGGTGTACGTATATTGTATCTATATATGTATAATTAATCAAAATTATAAACTTTTGTAAATCAGTCCTACCTTACGTAAATCGTGTTCGGGAATGATTGTGGCCTCGTTAACTCGTCGACCGAGGAATTGTCAATTCGGTATTTTAATTTTAAAACAAAGCCTACCAAAAAAAAAAAAAAAGAAAAAAATCACTTTAGAACACATTAGGCATGGAATTTCCAAACCCATGTACGTGTAAAGCCGATACCTCAGAGGAAAAGTAAATATACATACACAAATTCTCTTACCAACTACTTATGGGATGATTCACCCAAAAGAACACGAAGAAGAAGAAGAAGCCATGTCCTTATCCACGTCCACGTATTGTATATGCTTGCACACACCTTCGTCAAAGAAGCATACGCACCACGCGAGTATCAAACAAAAAAAAAAATCACTCTGAATTTTGGTGACTTTTTTAATCGCAGCTTTTGCAAGAGAGTACAGGTTACATATATGCGCTTCGATACGAAAAGTCGGAAAGACACTAAGTTAACTGTGATACGCGAGTGACCGCTAACATCATTATCGGCTCCGTGTGATGAGCCAACACGAAAATTCCAACGTAGGCATGCACTGATTCACTAATGTCTGTGTTGTAGCCGGCCGTTATTATGAGGTGGGAGGTCTCGTTTTCGACTTTCGACATATTTATATCTCGTTATCGCGTTCGGTCCACTTTGGTGCTCGTTATCGGTTTGACGTATAATACATGCACGTACTATCGTACTATCCACAAGGTTAGTGAAACAGCACCACCGATAGGTTTGTATATTGTACGTATAATACGTATAATACTGTTTTTACAGGAAGGAGGCATGTTTTTTTTTTTTTTCCTTCATTTTTTGTGATTCTCTCCTCGCACCTGAAAAACGAAACCACCTAACGGAGCGCGTACTTGTACTGCGTGTATTAACATGTATATCCCGTACACGAAACGGGTCGATTTCTTCTTCCTTTCGAGACGCAACTTTGGGAATAAAGAGAGAGAGAGCGAGCGAGAAAACCAAATGACGCGAGGTAAGCAATAAAAAATTTCACGAGAGCTCTCCATCGGGCGTGAAGTAAAGGTACGACGACCTTTTGTGCACTTGTGTGAGTGTACAATTTTATATATTATACAGATATCGAGCAGGATGTGTGGTGTAAATACACAAATAAGTGCGTGTACACGAAGATGCAATTTTTTTGTTTTTTTTTTGAGCAACAGGTAACTTCTACGTACATTATACAGGTATTATTGGCTCTGTGGAGCAGCTGCAAAGAAAGGGGATTTTTTCTGTGCGTATGAAGTAATCAATGTAACATAACTATTGATTTTAACAAGGAAAAGGTGACGTAGATATGTAAATAACCTCGAAGCTGAACAATTTAAGGGATGAGACGTAATAGTGCCCGAGGCGCCTCATATCCATTAATAGGTAAACTCGTCAAGTAAAATCAGTCTTTGAGACGTCAACTACTTGGTTACACCTTTTTTTTTTTTTTTACGAATCCACATCATATATTTCCAATGTACTATAGCTGGTGATGCAAAAGTAACAAAAATAAAAAGCCAACCCTCCAAAAAACTCAACGCTACAGTTGTTGGCACGTCTTATTTCCTCTGCCGGTGCTCCCTTTCCCTCCATTATCCACGGCTTTAGTGTTGGTCACTGTTGGTTGGGCATCAGAGAAAGAGAGAAAGAGCGAGATAGCTGTTAATTCCCTTTCGACTCATCGTGCACGTTGTGGGGAAAACAAAGTAGTAGTTAAGTAGTTGGCCGACGAAAGAGCGGAAACGCGCCGGTGGACGTGGGGTTGGGGGGCGCGTGCATCGAGAGTATTGTATTGTGTATATATCGACTACAAGAACAACAACAACTACGACGACACCGAGGCTCGTCGCCCGGATAATCAGCCGTGTATGCTCGTGAAACCCTTGGCTTCCATGCAGCCGGACGAATGAAGGAGTAAAAAAAAAGAAAAAAAAAAAAAAAAAAAAAAAACGTGAACGCAAACAAAGAGAGCGAGGGAAAACCGAGGAGGAGAAGGAAAGCTGCCTCAGGAGACTTTTTCTTATCCTACTCTGGTTTTTTTTTGCTACCTCCGCGTGTGTGTGTGGTGCAGTTCGTATTTCGCTGAGGAGAGAAACTTTACGCGAGTATAGCGAACTGTGCTGGTGCATCATTGAAAGTGTTGAAATTTTCAGACTCTTGCTCTTACAGACATGTGTCTTTATAATATGATATTTTTTTCCGTTGTGTATATAATTGTGTACGAGTAAAGACGTAGTCGAGTTTTTATTTATTCCCTGCATAGTATTGTTTAATAATACGAGAGACGGACAGTTGCATGGTACTCTCTCTATGTCTCTATTTATACGATAGGATATATTATATATTTATACACCGTCTTATACTCTCAAAAATAAGTACGAGCTGTAGACAAACCTTGTCTCTGTAATTCTCCCTCCTGCACTTTATGCCTAAATTTAAATCCACCGGCAATATACATGATCTGAGATTTTTACTTTTTTTTCAACGTCGCCGTCGTATGGTGTATTTACCACCACTTCTTGTATACTACATGATTCTGAGAAATTTAAGATGTTTTAGTGTGCACTTACACGCGAGGACTTTCAAGTCAAAGACGCAATTCAGCAGATGCTGTGGATGCTTTCAAAAAATTACATTGAATATCTGAATACACACAAATACCATACTTTGTTGTACGTGTTTATATTTTCAGAAATATTTTTACAGCATCTATCAACAAAAGTCTGCAGGAAATTTTTTTTAATCAATTCATTTAGCACCACAAGTAAGTTGCCTGTTCATAAATCCATCTATGTATATTTTTTTTTCAAGTTAAATGTACCAAAGTGTTAAGATTTACAAACATATTTTATGATTTTGCCCGTCAACCCGATCTCAAATTTTATATGGCATATCCTTTCGAAAAACTCTTTAAAGTTTCATGATAAAAAGTCATGTATTCGTAATCTTTCGATTGATTACCAAATCCTTTAGCTGTTCATTTATATTTCTCCTCCATTTTTAATATCGCACTGTTTACATCCGGTTAGTTAGATGTCATACTGAACGTTTTTTTTTTTTTTTTTTTTTTTTATCGAGGCGACGCTCGCGTTATCGAAGCTCTTATTTTTTTTTTTCAAGACAAGCTCTCGTAGGTAGTGTGAGTGTTTTTGCGCCCCACCCGCGTGTGCAGAGATAAGCATTGATATAATTTAAACGTCACGGAATGTGGAACACCTATACCGATACTGCTGCCGATCATTGCGATACACACCGAGAGAAAAGTTGATACGAGCATACATCCAACTAATCTGAATCATTTGGATGAGATAACACAAAGTAGCCGATATATAGACCGCGCGGTAATCTTATGTCACTTTCGTACGCGGTAATCTTAATTTAATTGCGATTGGATTGCTTTTTTTTTGGGGTATGGAAGCAAAAAAAAAAAGAATCACGTTTGATTATTACATCTGATCGGATGAGAGACGCCGCGAAAAAACTTTATGTATAATTACCTTGTGACGATCTTAGATACCGATACGACTGCAATAGGTATACCTGTACCTGTGGTTGTTGCGATCCGGCGACCGTGAACGATTTTTGTCGCGAACAATTTTTTGCAAACTCCACTCGCGTCCTTATCATAAATCTACACTCTACCGATTAGACGATAAGGAAAGAAAATCTGTCTGTCACGTATATACGTAGAGTAGCCCGTTTTTTAAAACAAAAACACATGTAGCTACATGTGACGTGCAAAAAGAGAAAAAAAAAAAAAATCGTATACGCAAGGGAAAGGAGCCTTGCGCGTATTGTGCGTTGGCACACCGCGTCTATAAATTAGTTGTATGCACACACTCACGAGTCCTTTCGAAGGAAGGCATAAAACACGCACACGAAAGATCGAAAGAAGGTAGGTATGTATGTGTATTCGAAAAAAAAAAAAAAAAAAAACGGCCCATCCAGGAATAGCACAGCAGATTGTAAGTAAGTATACAGCACGTAATATAAGGTGCAGGTATATACATGGAAGTAGATACATGTGTATATACATATATTACCCGTGCCATGAGGAACGCGTTAGCCAGTGCAGGGAGCACACGACCTACCTGTCAGCGTGCATTCCACGCCGTGTAGGTATATATATATAATCCCTGGGGCTCGCGTTCCCTCCGCTCCTCTCGAAGACGACGAGGATACGGAGAGAGAGAGAGGGCCGTGGTTGTATGTATACATGTGTATACGTGCGGATGATAAGTATAGCCAGGCAAAGGATAGTACGTGCGAGAGGAATGAAGGCGAATAATATTAAGTACCCATAAGCAGCAGTACCTACCTGTACATGTATTAGGGAAGCCTGGCGTCGGTCGTTGCCTATACATACACGCCTCGTAGCCTCTCTTTCTCCCCTTTTTATTTCAGCACAGCTTCTTCCTCCTCCTCCTCCTCTTCGTATACATGTATATTTTCTTTGACTCTCGTCTTTCTCTCCTTCTCCTTTAAATGCCCTCCTTTTACCCTTCCTCTCGCGATGCACTCGAGAGAGAGAGAGAACAACGCACCTTTCGAAGGAGCAACAACACTCTCCGATGCACACTTTCACGACAACCAGCTGTACCTACTGATTTACCTTTTTTTTTTTTTTTTTCATTGCTTGTTTGTGCTATTTCCCGTCCNTATAATCTATGGCGTAACGCTATTAAGGTTCACAAATCTATTAATTACTATTTTCCTGTAATGAAAAATTTAACGGTTTGTATGCGTAAAACAAAAGATTCAGCATTGATCCCAATTCGATATGATAATGAATTTTTTTTTTTTTTTTTTATTTATTTATATTTTTGTGATTATATTGTAATCAATAAAGTGTAAGACGAGGCACGATATATTTCTTCTTCTTTTATTTCGGAGCACACCACACCTCACTGCACTATACAGGCACCCACATTGGTTCACGGTGATTTGTTTTTTATCCACTGGCAGCTGTATAATATATCATAAGAAGAGGAGTTGACGAACGAAAAACAACAAAAAGATAAAACTACACCAAAGTCAGGAGGAGTCGCCGTGGGTGTCGTTGCGCTCTGCAGAGCGTATGTTACCGATAATCCAACCGATCGCGCGCATAGATGTCCATACACACACACACACATATATATATATATATTTATATACGTATGCAGTATCAAACAGCGGCGTTGCAGCACTGATGGCGGGTAATATGTATTGTACACACGTACGTGTACCGTTCATTCATCGCTAAACTCTCACGTTGGCTGATGAATAACAGTAGCAGATGTTGTCGTTGATGAGCCAACTTGTTTTGCAACACTAGGATGAGTGTATACAGGATCAACAGCAGAGCACGAGGTACTCGCTGATACCGACGATAACCGCATATTGTTACACGCGGATACGTATCTACTTTTTTTTTTTTTTTCGCGATACGCGCATACACACTTTGTACATCACATACACTCGTATACTTGTTTATCAATGCAACCGATGACGATGAAACTCACCGCCGAAAGCCAAGCGCGAGATCGTTTCATTGCCGCACGATTATATTCTCTCATCATAAGTATAGGTATATGCACCTGCAATACTTCTTATATGTCAGGTGTGTACTTGCACTGCTTGCATACCACAGCGTATGAAACTTGTAATATCTTAACACTCGGTGCGCCGATCGAGAGCCGATTCCCCTCGGCGTTGTTGCGCTTGCGTCTTCTTTTTTTTTCACGCTCGAACACACTGCAACGTACACATACTAGGTACACGTAGGTGGTGAGTATATATTTTTTTTTTTTTTTTAACGGACCTGATCGCTTCTTCTTCTTGGCCAGTTGGTACGTATATATACACACAAGTGTAACGATTACCGTAGCAGGTCGGCCAGTACCGAACTTCACAACAATTCAGACACGAAGCGTCGCTATCGTTTCCCGAAGCTCCTGACACTTCTCCTCGGCGATCGGCATGCATACATAGACATATACACCTATATATGTGCAATCGAGGAGGTAAACTATATTATATGTATATGAACGTACGCGTGCAACGGGAAAGCCGCCTCCTCCACTTCACACGCACCGATAACCCGCGACTGATGCACCGAATACCGATACACACACACTCGCACACGTACCCAAGAGCTATCCGCTTGCAGTCACTGTATATTGATGCTCGTGAGTTTTAGAGAGCGGCGTCTGTCGCTGACTCCACTCCGCCGCGTTCCGCAGCTCTCGCTCGACGGCCTATGCTGCCTCCTTGCTCGTATATGTATATACACAACAGAGAGCGGCAGCATTTAAACGTTCTCGCGCCGTCTCTGTCCGGCTAAAGCCGTGCACTGGTGCCATCAGCAGTCGAGCGAGCCGGCCGCGGGTTCCCCCCCACTTTCGGCAAAGCCACGTGGTACACGCTATATACTAATGCGCGCCGACCCCCCCCCCCTTTCCATTCCATTCCATTCCCCCCTTCAAAAGAGTAGTTCTTTCTTTTATATACGAGTACTATATATTATATGAGTATTCTTGTGGTTTTCGCGATCGGTGCTCGGTGATGGTGTGCCTCCGACGCGGTTCGTACTCCGTACGCACGATAAGTATTACAATATATACAAATGTAACTTGTAGGATGTACGTGGATTTTCTCTCGCTACTCTTGGCATGTGTGCAGGGTGTATTTTTTCATCCCCAAGTACTCACAGATCACAATAATACATCAGCCAGTGCGATGATCGGTAATGGCAAATGCACGACATTCTCCTCGACGATGCCGCCTGTACATCAGCGATATTATATCCTTCATTTTGTTGGAGGAGTACTACTGCGAAACATAATATATACATATACTTATAGTACAGGTACCTTGATCGGTTTCACGGGCGCGAAATTCTAGAATTCATGATACCGATTTCCTCAATTGGATGGACTGCGGAAACCGTCCACGACGATATAGTAGTACAAGGCAAACATACATTTCATTAAAATAATTGTATGTGTAACTATTTCCACATCCACACAAACGTATATCCTGCAACATTTCTCAATTGATCATGTTTATATACTCGATAGATAAATAACAAAATATCTGTCGTTCGAAATCACTATACATATATATGTATATTAGCCCCGTCAACTGTTCACAAAAGCCAGTTTTCGTCATCAAAGGACTACATAAAACGATCAACCGCTACAGTTATAGGCACCCCCCGTGTCATGCACAAGTGCTCTGATGCACTTTTGTGTGGAGCTATTACACCCGTCACACGGGGATGCGGGTACCTTTCAGGTCCACAGTACAAAGCGAGAGAAACTGCATCAGGATGCGCGCGTCCTCGAGCTTTTCCTCAAGAGGCAAGTTGTACGTGTATTGTATAATGTGTATGTGCACAAGTAGCGTGTAATGGGAGCAAAAGCGAGGAGCCAAGAAGGAGAGCGCGTATGGATGTGTTTTTTCGCTTGGCTATCTTGCACTTTGGCGGCTCAGGAGAGGCTCTGTATAGTAAAACTACGTACATATATACGCATGGTCTCAGGGTGTGTGGGTGCGTATGTATGCCCGGCGGAGGGTGTGGGTATACCTTCGTCCCCGATAATGACCTCTCCTCTCCACCCGAGGACCTTTTAAGCTTTGGCAGAGCCAACTTGGAGTGCTGCACCGACACTAGGACTCGTGTAGGTATGAGCAATGGATTTTATTTCTTTTTTTTTTTTTTTTTTTTTTTTTTTTTTTTTTTTTTTTTTTTTTTTTTTTTTTTTT